ACAGGAAGGCCTGGCGCAATATGGTTCATGGGGTCACAAAGAGTTGGACATGACTTAACGATGGAACAAAGCAATAAACAAATCATTAATTGATCCACAAAAAAGCATTAAGGTTTTTTCCCCAACTAGTTTCTCTGAGGCAATATTGTTTTTGCTAGAGAAAGCAGAAAGAACTCCCCCATATTAAGTTCTGAAAATATCTGGCTGTATGCAGAAGCGCAAGTCTTCTGCAGCGACCCTTTAAGAAAAGTTCTGATCTTTTGCAGTACCTCTTAAGCTAACATCCTACCTGCTTTTCAGTAGTCAGCGCTGATTGACATGGGAAATGACCAATTACAGCTATTGTCCTCCCTTTTCCAAGCAGGTCTGTGCTTGGTCTTCCTCTCAAATACAAATGTAACCTTTTTCATCTCTAAGCAAATTTTAAACGTAATATACTAAAAATATAAAATTCAAACAAATATTTTCTTAGATAAATGTATTGGCACTTACAAAGAAAATTTAAGTCAAATTAAAAAGGCAACCTACTTGAACCACTAGAAAACAGGTAAACTGGAAAATGCAACAGTCATTCAAGCCACATACCGTGCACGTGTCACAAGGTTTTCCTGCCAAAATAAAACCCTTTCCTGCTTATAGGCAGGCTTTTAATCACAAGATTTATTCCTCGTACACACTAGCTTAATTTCTGTATAGTAGGGCATACAAATAAAACCTCTAATCATGTTTCCAGCATGAGGGCAAGTAAGTTGAGGTGAACGCAATCCCCTAATACAAATCATTTTAAGGTTTTAAAGGGAGTATAATTAATACAGGCATAGCATGTTCCAACATGTGAAGTCTGCACAAGCATTTCAGTTTAGGATTAAATGATCTACCTGTTCAAATGTGTCATTGCCCCTACAGACACAGTCATCCGACGACTTCCAAAACAAAGCAACACAAGAGGAAACAGCTCAAGCCACAGTCATGGCAGCATTCATAATGACCTGTCTCTAACTCACAAGTTACAGAGTCAGATTCATAAGTTACCAGTTCACATACTAGTGCTGCTCAAGCAAATACTACATCAAAAAATAAACCTAAATATTTACACTAGCCTCAGGTTAAATGCAAATAAAATGTGCATATAAAATGTACTGTGCATTTAACAAGCCTGCAGAATGCAGACTATGCTTGTGCTGATATAACAGAGACTATTCATTAACTTTGCAGTTTACATTCTGATCCATTCTCTGACATCAGAGCAGCAAAGCCAATCAGGAAGTGATTCTGCAGCCTATCAGTAAGATCTCAGCAGATTAGGAATGATTGCCAGATGATATTTGCTGGTCATTAAATGTATTGGTTGAGTACAGGTACCAGATTTTGAAGTATAGGTGGTCCTCATTTAATGACAACTCATTCAGCAACCATTTGAACTTGCAACGGCTCTGAACAAGTAAGTGGTAGTTACGACCAGTCCTTGAAGTTCCAGCTGTCGCAGTCCCACGGTCACTTGATTGTGATCCAGGCACTCAGCAACCAGCCTGAATTTCAAGTCATTTTGAGCACCATTAACACATTTCTAATCTCACACTGAGAAGAGAAAAGCAGCACTTGGAATCATACAAATCAGGTTCCCAGGGAAAATGAACTCCTAATTCAACAGTGCAAGGTGGATGATACTGGAAGATCTGAAAGACCAGGTTAGGGGCAGATCGTCATGGAGAAAATCCATCTATGTGGTTGCTAAGAGTCAACGCCAACTTGATGGCACATAATCAATCTACCAAAATTCAACAATATTTCCCCAGAATTGTCTAGGGCTTCTGCTAAATTCACTACTTTCTTCAGAATGCAGCTGCACACACATACATGCACTTACAGGGCTACAACCAATGATCCAGATGTCCTCTAAAAATAACATCTGTTTCAATCTTTAATATAGTCATGTCAGAAACACAACATTAATTTAATGCAGTGTTGATAGCATAACTAATACTGTCCTTCAAAGCTGGTGTAAACAATATCTAACAAGACTGTTAGACATGTGCAAATCTTTTGATAAACCCAGTATGGTTTTCACAAGACAAGAGTCCTTGGCTTCTAGCAAAGGCCATGCACTTCTCTGCCTTCACACGAGCTTTTGGCTTCCTAGAAAGGACTTGTACAAAACTTACCTTGGCTTTTATTTTCCAGGATGAGACCCACTGACAATGAAGAATCTTGCAATATCAAAATTTGCACATTTACAGAAGCAAAAGCTTTTCTGGATGAGAGCCCAGATTGTTATACCACTGAAGGCTTCCCCTCAGCTGGCAGACTGAATAATAACATTAACACCTTTCTTTTGTCTTAGACCTCTGGTCATGTCTCCATTAACTTTTGACCAGAATGCCAAAAACAATCAAAGCTTGGTGCTTCCTTCATTTCGATATGTAACAGCAGAGGGGAACGGCTTTTAATGAATTTCCCCATATAGCAGTGGAATACTTTATCCAGCTTGCTTTTACAATCACTCAGTTGAAATTCTGTGCACCTTCACTATGTATGTATGAATGTCCATGTTGCTCATGGTTAATGGGAAATCTATTTCCTTTACATAATGCACCAACCATTAGCAGATTTTATGGAATATAGTCTTCTGCAAATCAAGGTCATTGAACACAACAACACTGGGTATTTACTGCAGTTGTTTTTGGCACACATCCCCAACCTAAGGGTCTCCAGACATCTTGGAGTACAATCTCATCATCCCCAGCCAGAGTATTTCTAGTCCAGCCCACCTAGAATTCAGAATCTAAGAAAAGGTCTGGTATGCATACCATCAGCCAACATCCTAGTTCTGACATTTTTACATGAAATGTCTCCTTTCAACAACCCAATTTAGGGAACAATACTGGAAAAAGTGTCAAAATATTGTTTTTACTTTGTTTTTGAGTATAAGGAAGTAGCCAAAACTATCACAAATCGAGAAAAAGCAAGGGAGAAAGTATTTTGAGATAATATTTCAGCACACAGGACCAATTTATCATGGAGCCAGGAAGCCAATTAAAGAATGTCAGACAGGAGGGTAACAAGCTCAGCATACATCTGACTTCCCCAATCTGGCGGTCTCCAGATGTAATAATTTCTTAAACTTGTAGGCTGCCCAACTCTCAATGACTCTGAGCAGCTACGAACCCCAGATGCACAATTTCCAACCAACCTAATTCCCAGATGTTGACTAAGATTATCCAGCACATCTGGAAGGTGCCAGGTTGATATATACACATAGCTTCAAAAAATGCTTCCTCTAATCCTGCCATATGCTAGACACACATAAACACACAGGGGCTTTGTAAATAGTATTCCCTTCTATGCATCCATTTCCATGGAATTAGTGGAAACCCATCAAAATCTCTTTTTCACCTCTCTACACATTGCATAACCCTTTTCATAAAACTACAGAGTTTCTGAGGCTTCCTGACCGAGGGCGAATCATACTTTCTCCAGGGGTATTTTTAAACAAATAATAACTGGAAGGAGCCAAGGCCTAAAATTGGGAAGGAGGTCCACACCTTACCACCAGATCTACCTCGCCAACAGGATAAAAATCTAACACGGGCACTGCTTTCAAAAACCTTGGGGAAGCGGGGGGGGGGGCGGAGGCAGTCACGAAAAGCAAATTCACGATAAAAGACTCTGCGAAACTGTCCGGATTTTCTAGAGCGAACTCAGCCCCGCTATTCCTG